CTGAATTCAAATTCAAATTGAGTAGGGATCAGGAGAGTGCTGCTGCTGCCTCCTGCAGGAAGCGAAGGCTCATTACATGCCAGTCTGAGGCACTCAGGTCATAAATCTGTATAATACAGATGCCTGCCCTACCCTATAGACCTTCTCTGTGAGGAGGATTTTAGGGTTTTAAAAAATTTATTTATTGCTATATAACTTAGATGGCAAAGTGCCAAGCTGGGGGTTTCTGTCTCAGAAACAGAAAGGAGAAGATGAACTCCATGGGGCTCCAAAGTTCTCCTCCTCCTCCCACCTGCTCCTGTCCCCAGCTGGCTGCGGTGCCCAGCAGTCCAGGTGGCACAAGCAGTCTACCCTCCCTGGTGCAAGCAGGGAATGGGAAGTAAAGGCTTCAAAGCTCTGAAGTTCTCTGCAGGTCCTGCTACCTGCCAAAATCAAGGCTAGGGGACAAAGCGGCACACTCAAGGCAGCGAACGTATAGTTACAGTCACTTAAAGACTCACCCTATAGGCAACAAATACTATTGCTATCCATATGTTTAGATACAGAGTCTTCACGGTGATAGCAAGCACTCATGCTCTGCTGCAGCTCGATGTTTGCTAGCTCAGGAATTGCTTACCGCCTGTAACTGCCTGCACAACATCATTCCTCAGGAGAAGGAAGGAGAACTTGCTGTGCTTAAAAGCAGCAGTTTTCACCTCCTCAGTTGAAAAGTTTCATTAATGAACTATGATATCAAAATACACACTTTGCTGGAGTGTTGTACAGGCTGAAATAAGAACCACTTCCAGTTGCCTGCGCATGAATTTCAAGTCAGTAATAAAGAACATGTAAAGTTGCATTTTTAAAGAACAGCCAACTAAAGGACAATAACAGAAATCACTGTCCCTGTTTTCAAAAATGTGGGGAGCTGGGATTCAGGGTGTACCTCCACATCTTATTCCTTGCAATAAATTAGCAGGTCCAGTTGCAGATGATAGAGGTTCCTTCCTAGGCACACAGCAGTTACCAGTTTTCTTGGCTGCCAAATGTAGCAACCTACTAGTGACAGGTAATATACTCATCCTGCAGAAGTAGTAAATTCCTAAACAAACAGGACCTCAAAAAGTACCAGTGCTTTTCAGTTTATTGCAAGCTTTTACCATCTGTGTTGACCTCAAGAGGGATGCCAACTCCCTTTCAGTTTTGTGCTTCGGAAAATTTTGTGGCTGCATCTAGTTATCCTAAGATTGCAAAACTATTATCATCCTTTCTTATCTATGTAGAAGTAGCCCAGGACCAAAATCAATAACTGCCAGAAGTTCCAAGTTCATCCAAGACAACTGGACCAATTTAGCAAACACAGGAAATGAAAAATAACTCTGATAATCAATTGGTGATGGCAGAATAAGGCAGCTAACTCCCTTCAGTTCTGTTAAATTAATCCTTGCCAAGACTTAGAAGCCTGTAATCAAGCACTGATCCAATCTGGACAGATTTTGTTTATAAGTCTTGGCAAAACCACTATAGCTAACAGGATAACAAAATATTCTTCCTACACAGACTTTAGTGTTGATCTTGCAGTTACACAGCTCTCATCTTTTCCACTTTCTCTTTTGGCTGTTACCTTTCTCCACTCATATTTTCACAACAAACTCATTTTAGGCTGGTTAATACTGTTATTCACTGAGAACAATGGCTTGAGCTGAGCTGGACTTCTGAGATAATTAACAGTATGAGCAGAATTTACGGATATTGAGACAGCTGTGAAACTGTAATTAATTTCCTTCCCTATGCATAGGAAAATAATTCATTCCCAAGTGCTTTAAAATTACAATAGAAAATCACATTGATTTCATCAGGCTTTGAATTAGGTTCTTAAAGGAGATCAAAGCAGGTGCTTTCTTCACCTACAGCAAACAGTAAGATTTCTCAGGGTGTTCCCACCTTCTTCTCCTAGATAAATCACAGTGCCTTTGTCAGGAGTTTGGTATGGCGGCATCATCTCCAAACCTGTTGTAGTGTACAATGGCTCCGGAGTAGTGGGTATCCAATCTGAAAAAGAAAAAACACACAGAAGGAGTACAAGCAGGAAGATTGTATTAGAGTCTTTATAATATGAAGGACACACTGAAAAGTGGTTCATCCTATTTATACCAGTTGCACATAAATGAATAGGGAAGTCTCCTTTTGAACCTAATTTTTTGGATCTGTGAACAAATCTTCACTATAACTCTAAATAAAAATACGTATCAATCTGTGCATGGACTAACTTCTGCTGTACAAATTTACCTCTGTTCCCTACATCGCTTGCTTATCATTAGTGAGGATGACAATGGTGAACATTAGACAGCATTGGTACCATTAGGAAAAGAGATGCTCCAAGTACAGAGTGAAGTCATTGACTGTTGACCACAGATATGGCATGGCTATAATGCAGTGTCTCTGTGTAACTTGCATGACATCTGCCTGGCATGTCAAAGATCTGCTGAACACCGATTCATTCTGACAGTAGGACTTTCCTTACAGTAACACAGCAGTCCTATCCGGTTCCATTCGAGATACTGGGATCTATTTTCAAAGGTAACAGAATAAGGGCATAGATGCCTCCGTCCCGCTTCTGTGCATTTCTAATTTCTACCTATTACTTCCAAACTGCAATTGGTTGTATCTGTAAAGCACAGGGATTGTTCAAGTCTTCACTATCTGTAATAGGTTTTCAGTAAGAGTTTTGTACAGACTTCATAAAAGCAGTTATTAGCTGACATTCATATTTAACCGTATAGCCCTGAAATACAGTACTGACACTGCTGGTAACAGGACATGAGATTTGTACTGAATTCGCAAGACCTCAGGACTGAGCCTTGTCAGGTTTGCTCTGTCTGGACTTTTCTTTATCGTTCTGCAGCTTTGTTTCACCTAACTTAGCTGTGACAGCAATTTCTCTAACTGATCATGTATGCATGGCTAATTTGTTTTATTTTTATTTATCTTTGTATGGTACAACCATAGACTTATACGGACAGCAGTAACAAGGAGTTGTTCTGCATAGAAATGCAGACCTAGAGCTGGACAAAACTTGTTTTAGGGGTAACAAAAAGAAGGAAATAATATCTAACACATGTAAAGAACACTGTATATGGTAAATTCAGATGTATAATTGAGCTGCAGACTGAGGAAGAAAGAGAAAGGTGTAAGAATAAGCTAGTAAACATACGAAAATGACCCCAGAGTTACTTGAATCCTAGAGTGGGGAAGAAGAAATCATCAATACAAACATCATATTTTCCCCAGCAAAAGGACTCCAGAGGCTGATGATTTGCAACAAACAACTCCTCCCCTCCACCAGAATGAAACCTCTGCAATGAAACCACTGACCTTAGGACCTAGAGAAGGCATGGAAGGGGAAGCCAGGAAAAGGGTGTGAATGAAGCATACCTATAACAAACTTATCTGCATTATTATTTTTTTCTTTTTCTGTAGCAATTAGAGCTGGACTAATAATGATTTGTCTCTTAAAAATCTCACTTATACTAATAATAAAGTCTTGGTTTTGTTTATATAAGTGTGATTCTTCTTTGCCCACACACAAGATTTTAAGCACAACACAATAACTTACTAATGTGCTCAATTCTGTCCCTGATGACTTCACAGTGGTGTTGCCAGTATGCCAGGGAAAACTGACTGTCAGGTGACAAGTCATCCAGATTCTGAGGCTTCCGAGGATGGGGTACCGCTGCCTCTGAGTCAGATGATAACAGAATCTGTTTTGCCCTTGGAAAAAGATGAGCACAAACGGAATCTATAAGAAAGTGAAAGAACCCTCACATCAGCCTCTCTTGCTCTTCCAAGTGGAAACAGGCTGCAGAGATTATCTACGCGAAAATAACATAACGAAGCATGGCACAATAAAATCACATCCCACTGAAATGCAAATTTAATGCTCCATCCTATAAATCACACTGAATTTAAAAGTAGCGCTGAATGAACAGTTAATTCATTAAACCACAAAGCACATCAAGTATTCAACTGCAGCAGGGAATAGCTTACTTGGGTTCCTATATAAAATGTTGGCACCTTTTATTACTACTGCTTTTATTACTAGTGTGTTACAGTAAGGCCTACAATCTCAATGCCCGAGTCCAAATCTGTGCTGTGCAATATCGTACAAATAACAAGCAAAGCTTATTCCTACCAAACTTACCACATGGTGGGTATGCAACAACCAGATAGTACTGGCTACCATGACAGGAGAGGTAACAATCTGATGCTATCAAGAATTTTGTAAAGCAACAGAGACATTTGGAGGAGGTGGGCAGTTATTTACTTATCAGCAAGGAATTCTTCAAAGTTGTGTGATGCCACTCGAATGAAAACATGATGAGCAGGGAAAAAGCTTTGAAAAACATCTACTACTTGGATGATTTGGGCTGCTGGTACTGTGCACTGACCACAACACTGTCCAGAGTTAATTACTTGTCTTTGTCATAGATACGAAAAGATCCCCTTTCAAAGCATTCCCTGTCCTTCCTAGTATCTGCTTATATCAGGCCAAAAGATAGGAGCTTGGTTTCATGGGAAATTGTTTGTATTTGCTTTGGGTCTGAATCAGATAACGACTTATTTTACCCGAAAAAACATACTCATCAGCTTTAGACCTGTTTTCTAGATCTAATTCTCCTCACAACAAACAAAAGAACATAATAGCAAAAGAGCTTCACCTGAAGGATATGGTTTCAAGTGTAAATGACATCATATGTGAAAAGCAAATGGATTAAAACCAAAACTGCTGAACCCATTTTTAAACTCTAGTGGTTACCTAACTCTAATGGATACCAAGCTACTATAACGTCCAATCTGTAACTGGTGATCAAGTGTATGCTGTAAGATGGGACTGACATAGCTACTCATCTAGGTCAAGAATCATAAAGTGTGACTAGACCTACCTCCACTTTTGTTTAACGCTTGACAACTATGTGAGCACTAGTATCTTCCCCCTTTCCCTTTCTTTTATCCTGTGGTCTTACAGGGACAACATATGGGAATAATTGAAAGGGTCTTAACCTGTAAGAACAGCATACTGCTGACTCTGTTCTGTCACAAATGAGTTAGCGGGGTCTTCATCCTAAAAAAAAATAAAAAAAACCCACTAAAATAAATTGGAAGTCCACAGTAGGACAGCTCGCTTTTGTTTGTTTTCAGAGAGAAGAGCTGCCTCTGTTTTGGTTTACTTTATGGCCTGAAAAAGAATTAGGCAAAGCCTGCATGGTCCTGTACTCCGTCGTTATTCCTGTCCACTGCTCAAAGGCGATGTGCTTCCACTCTTTGTCTTTTGTTTCCCCAGTGCCTCCCTTGTGCAGTACTGGCATTCCTAGTGCTGTGTGAAAAGCTAGAGCAGAAAACTGACGTAAGAAAAAAATGTTTGGTTTTCAGCTGCATTAATTAGCCCTCTGATCCCACTCATCGAAGAAGCCTTCTGATGTAAGAGCAGGAGAGGCTATGGAAACCTATAGCTAGGAGAGCCTTTCTGGTGGCAGCCCAGATGCATGCCACGATTATCCGAAAGCAGTAAGGACTAGGACTAAGGGAGGTGAGGAACTCCCTACTGAGGAACTGAGGTGTGACACTGGGCAAAAATTAAAAAAGCACCACTCTGCAGCCAAAGTGCACGTGGGCCATGAAAAGCAACCAGCTGCCCTGGGTTACATCTGAAGCACATTGGCAAGGCAGCACAGAGCCAATAGTGCTTGTCCTCTTCGCTGTGTTTACCATAGAACATTTATTTCTCAGGGTTTATATCTCGTCCCCTTTCATTAACATCATATTCAATTAAAACCTGAATTTCCTTCCTGAAATATGAATAAATGTTGATAACGTCAAATGCATTTCACAGCTGGTAAAAATACTCTCAGCTTTATTTACTGCTCCTATTTACATTCACCACATTTGCAAACCCAACGCAGGGCTTCTAAAAACCTGCTAGTCCAGTCCCTGATCCAGGAGCTTGAGTTCTACAGGGCAAGAACCGAAAACAGTTCACAAACCAAAGCACAGATAAAATGATAACGCAGAGGTGGTAGAAGACTTCACTTTGCTCGCTGACGAAGAGCCGTACTGCTCTCAGCAACGTGGACAGTGCTGGGGACGAGCTCTCAGGACATGGATTCGGTCAGCGCGACACAGAGCGAGGTTCCAAAAGGCAGTTCACGGATGCGTTCCAGCCGCCTGTAGAAACGGCTTGTTACCGGGGCTGCTGATTTTCTTACGAGAATACAAACCAATTGCTTCTAATGAATTACAGCCGACCTGCCCAAGAGCTGGGACCACCTCAGACGGGGAGCAGGCGCCGCCGGGACTTACTGAGCTGCCTTCCTGCCTGACGGCGAGGCTCTCCCCATCCCGTCCCCACTACCCGCCGCCTCC